ATAAAATTCAAGAAGTGAGAGATGTAAAATTTAATGAGCAGTAACTCGGATCACCTTTACTATAAGAAAATTATTTGAAATTGAATAAAAATCAAATATTAGAAGAACTTATTATTTTTTACAATGAACAAGCTAATGGCAGTGTAAACAAGTTAGAAATAACTGACAGATACCATAGAAAAGATAATACAACAGACGAAGAAGCTGAGAAAAATTTACTATCAAACACTGATGATGAACACGTCGATAACAATTCATTGGAAAAGCCAACAGAGTATCCATAAATAAATTAAGTCATGGAAATGATAGTCATGGAAATTCTGTACAGAAAAGACCAGCGCGAACGACGAAGCCCCCAGAAAAATAAAAAAATTACGTAGTATACAATACAAACGAAAAATTATCTAAGACGTATGATGAAGCTGTAGAATCTGCTGAAAGTGAATTCTGACTACATGCATGATAGAAGAACTGAGTTCAATGGAGGCTAATGAAATCTGGGAATTAGTTGAAAGACCCATCGATAAGAAAGTTATTAAAAACCGCTGGATATTCTCAAAAAAGAATGAAAAGAGTAATTTAAAAACAATTTGCAAAGCAAGACTAGTAGCTACCGGATTTAATCAAATAAAGGGAATTGATTATGAATATGGATTTAGTCCAGGAATAAGACTTGCTACCTTCAGAACATTGTTATCGATTGCAATTTACAAAAACTACAACATAAGATATTTCGATGTAAAAACTGCATATTTAAATGGATACTTGGATAAACCAATTTACATTTAACAACCATCTGGATTTATAACAGATCCGAACAAAGTACATCTTGTAAAAAAAAAGTATATATGGATTGCTGGTATGGAAATGCTTGTATAGGAAAATGCTAATATGTTGAACTGTGTAAGTTCTTAAGGAAAGGAATTTAACTAGACTAAAATTAGATTATTTTTTACAATGAAAAAGCTAATGGCAGTGTAAACAAGTGAGAAATAACTGACAGATACCATAGAAAAGATATAATCAAGATCCCACAGAGAAACACTGGAAAGCTGTGAAGAGGATATTTAGCTAAAGAAACACAAAATGCTTGTTTAATATATTCTTCAGACAATGGGAAATTAAACGCTACATCAGATGCTAGTTGGTGTACCACTGAAGATGGAAAATCATTTGGAAGTTATTTCATTAAATTAGGTAAAATTTCATAAATTGGAAGTGCAACAAACAAAAAATAGTTGCTCTATCTACATCGGAAGCTGAATTTTTAGCATTCTGTGAATGTGCATGTGAAGTTAAATGGTACATCTTTTTACTTGAAGAATTGGTACAAGACGATCTAACTGACAAACCAATAGAAATTAGAACAGACTGTCAAGCATTAATAGATTGGGGGGGGGGAATTGATAATATTTGTTTATAAAGTATAATTTTAAATTTTAATATTTTGGCAGCATTGACATTTTCTTAAATTGTAAAAAAAGAATGAGTTAAAAATGTGTCTGGCATCTGAGGGTTTGTTATGGTTTTGTAGAATGCGCTAAGGCTTGTTGTGATTAAGCTTATTTAATAAAGTTTTCTTTTTATATCTTACTATAATGTGTTTTTAATTAGAAGTAGATTATTCTTAGAGAGAGAATATCATTTATATGCCAATTCCAAACCAACAATCCTGTTTAGAAAGCTTAACTTTGCGTAGCCAGTTTTCAGATGCATGAAATGATATACCAGGTGTACAGATTTAAGCATGAGTATGAAATAATGCACAAACACAAATGGATTCCTTACAAGGGAGGAAAAAACGCACTCAATGAGGGGGGGAACACTTATGGCCGTCGTCAATGAGCAAAAGGAAACAGTAATATCAGACGCTGATCTATTGAGTACGCGTTTGCCTATTTTAGCGACATAGTGCATTGCCTCATGAATACTTTTCAGAGGGATGAAGATAATTCGAAAGTATCTTTTACTTTAATAGCTTTCTTTTTGTAGCTTTGTAAAATCCACTATATCTCCCTTAGAATTAGTTAAAAATTCAAGGAATAGTGTATGCAGTTTTGTTGATAAACTGGGGAAGCGTTTTCGAACACTGAAGTTATCTGTAAATAAAGCAATAAGAAACTAAAAATATTTTTACTTATTTAGAAGCATACACTGGTGTGCAAAAATTAAGGACGAGACGGTTTTTTCAATATAACTTTGTACAAAAGCTTTCCAAATCAACACATTTAATACCGTAAGATCCCCAATACGTAAGGACATGAGTAATGTAAGCAACACTTACTAAATGAGAAATCAGAGGGATAAAAAGAAACTTTATTAAAAAGTAGCTTGGAGCGCAATGCGACTGAAGGCCGAAACATCCCTGTGATGGGTGTCCAGCAAGAAACATCCGGTCTTTAATAGGGGATATGATCTCCCCTGACTGCTAGGCAGGTTTCACAGCGTCTGCCCATGCTGAGAATGAGGGTGTCAATGAGTTGTTGAGGCATTGCTGCCCATTCGTCTTGCAGCGCCAATCGAAGCTTCGGAATCGTTACTGTGGATAAGGTACGAGCTGCCAAGCGTCTGCCTAGAAAATCCCATACATGCTCGATGGGATTGAGATCCGGAGATCGTGCCGGCCAGTCCATACGTTCAATATCCTCACTCTCTAAGAGCTGTTCGGCAGCTACTGTGCGATGACATGGTGCATTGTCGTCCATGAAAAGGAACTGCGGACTCATAGCGCCTCTAAAAAGACGCACATATGGAAGAAGAATCTCGTTACAATAACGGGTCACGTTGACTGAACCTGCGTCGAAGATGTGAAGGTCTGTACGACTACCAAGCATGATGCCTTCCCAAATGAGAACACCGCCACCTCCATACCTGTCCCTTTCAATGATGTTTGAGGGATGATTGCGGCTTCCCCGCTCTCTCCAGATGAGTATGCGATGAGAATCGCTACTCAGACTGAATCTGCTCTCATCTGTAAAGAGTACTCGTCCCCATTCATTGTCTCTCCAATTCCGGTGTTCCCGGCACCACAGAGAACGCCTTCTCCGATGGGCTGCCGCCTGTTTCTTCTGGCCTGTAAGGCAATATACCGGTCATCTGCGGGTGTGGTGGTTCCTCGTGCACGACCACTACTAAACCCCCGGATAGCTGTTCCTGTAGTTTGAAATTGTCTCCAAAGTCGTGAAACGATGCTGTGAGCAATTCCGAACTCTGCAGCCACACTTGTCACACTGCGGCCTTCCTCCAACTTCCCAATGATTCGACCTCGGGTAAAAGCATCCAGATGTCGTCTAACAGATTGATTATTCGCCATTTCTCGCTGAGGCAGCAACTTGGTGTGATTTTAACTGCTATACGGTGTGCAATCTCTTTGCCAGAAATACTGATCTTACACCGACAACATGCTTTATACTACTCAGACACTCCCCCATTACGTCTACCTGCATATCTGCGCATGTGCTACCGTACGTCACCTTACTTAATCTCCTGCTTGGTCTTTCTGTCCGCTCTGCCTCTTCGTTCAGCTGATATGCTAATTTTTCGACTTCGTCCTTAATTTTTGCACACCAGTGTATTATGTTAAAAGAAATTAACTGCTAAATCGATGTAAAGGGGAAACTGGAAATTTACAAATCTAGCTATAAGTGATACAGCAGTGTTTTGAGAATTTTATGAAATTACCAAATTCCCTAAGCCATTCGCGATCAAAAACTCAGTATTAAATAATATTTTTTTGCATTACTTATAAAATATTGGTAGCTCCTTTTTTTACTATTATGTATTTTAAGATGATACAAGACTATTATGCACTTTAAGATACAGATTCATATACATATACACATATATAGAGAGATCTGTCTCTATATATAATTTTGAGAAAGGGTTGAGAATTTATTCTTCCAAGTAAAGATTTACTTATTTTACAGTGGCCAGATCACTGTTACTAACACAAATTTCATGGGTAAGAAAACCTTATTATCAATCCGTTCTGATTTGATTTGGTTTACCTGATTATGGAAAAGCATTATCTGCCTAAGGTGTATGGAGAAACTACGAAAACGCCCATGCAGCTACCCCGTTGCTTGGAACCAACCCAGGTCGAACTACCAGTGTTCAGTCACTTATCGCTCAATCCGCTCTGAATACCTGAGTTAGTAAAAATACTGTTCTCATGGTAGAGGATCCTTGGTAACAGTGATTAAAATTAAAACTTACAATTTAAACCTGTTAATTTTAGTGTTCCGTCGGCGGTCGATGAAATTTTAGAAGAGGTCAATGATGATTAAGCGATTGATAGCAACAGCAACGGATCGGCATAATTAAGATTTCATTTATAATTATTAAGCTTTATTACTAAAATTACTTATTAATTTCTTGCTGATATGAATCTGTATCATACAGTAAGGAAGAAATCATATTAAATAAATATAAGGGGAAAATATACTAAAATTATAATGGAAGAAGATTTGATCACATTGTAGGAAGATGTTTAAGCATATATTTTATTCAAAACACATGGGTACACTATGTTTTAAAATTTAAAAGCCAACTGAGAAATATACCTCAAAATAAAAGTTGTACTGAAAAAGGTACCGCACCAATATCATTGACTTTTCCTTCTTCTTACATAGTTTAGGCAGGCTTTAATGAAGCCAATAATTTACTATAGAAAACAAGAAAGAGGCTGAATATTTTTGAACGAGGCAATTTAAGAATTAAGAAATTTTGTGCAAATATTAAAAAATATTGCATCATTACATCTACACATTCATTAAAATCGAACTTCTGGGCAATTAAGATCTATGATTTTGTTTATACTTCTAAAAATTAACAATAATAACAATAACAAAATAATAGAACATAAAAATGTAATAAACCATTTTTTTCAAAACTTTTGTTCATAGTTTTACGTTATTTATGTATAATTATTTGTATTATGATATATTGTATGCAATATATTATAGAGAAAATTGTAAGGGGTTGATGAAAGGAAAAGGCAGGGAATCCCTGATCTAGAGTATAAATGAAAATTATTATATCGGTACTCAACTAGACAGAGATTAAAAAAAATATCACAGGAAAGTTATAGAAATTCAAATTTACCTTTGCATTAAGTTTGAACAACGAAAAACACTTGAATTCAAATGCTACTTTAATACAGTTACCAAATTATCATTATTTGCAGTATTAATAAACAGATAGAAGTAATTAAAAAAAAAGCGAAGAAGTTATTATAAAACATAAAATTTTGCTAAAGTTGTTTCCGATTGGTACATTTACTGAAGCAGCGTTTCGAAGAGGAGATGGAGTGGTAGATGGTGGGAAAAGACACAATGGTGAAGGACAATCTAAAACACATTCGCAAGTTCTTTCATCCAGAACATAATATTTTTCACAAATTTTACCGCCGCAGCAAAGCTTGTCTTTTTTCGTAAGATCAAGGGCAAAGCATCGACCACAGAACTTCCTACACCATTTTAGACCGGGTAGTTTATCACAACTTTTATTATATTTGTACTCAGAATTTTTATAGCATAATCTGGGGAAGGACGAGGCATCAATGGCGTCTATGCAAGGGAAAGAACAGTCTTCGTAATCCCAGCCATATTTGCATGGTTCACATTTGCAAGTTTTCGGATTAGGTTTAACACAATTTTTACATGCTGTTTGACAACTGCAATCGAGTTTATATTCCTTGCAAATTCTTTTGTCAACACATAAATTTTTATGACACAGATTACCATCTGAAAAGCGACATCTTGTGCAAGGCCACCCGTAGCGGTAGGGTTCAAATGCAGGGCCTTGGTAATTTCCTTTAGGAATGTAATGACAGTTTGCTATAATTTTTTTCCTGCTAGTGGGGAAACAATAACTTCTTCGTGCACATCCGACATGCAAAGATTCTGCCCAGAATAACTGAGTGAAATGACCGCACATATATTGAGGATATGGTTGCATGCATGTAAGATTATTAAAGAAATACCATTTATATTCTTCATAATACATCCACATATATCGATTAATGTCTGTACTCCAACCCCAGTAAAGATTCTGACCTTGCTTCGTCGTCATGTTGTCTTTTTCAGAGAAACCGTGTTTGAACTGGCATTTCTTCAAATACAAATAAGCTGTCCATTCCAAAGTGTTATTGTACTCCATATAAGTCAGATCAGAGCCTTTGGGAATAGGTTCAGTTTGATTAGATCTATACAAATTGTGTAAATGGACAATGTATTGCTTTTGCTCTTTCGTGTATATGTCAATATCATAGTCGACAGCCGCTTCAGACAGAGCAATAATATCTGATAGTTCAAAATCACTATTTTCGTCTTCTAAAACTGGGTCAAATATAGGGTAAGACTGGATATTACTAAAGTAATCTAGATTTTGTTGATCGTCTTTATCGTCATAGAAATTAGGCTCACTGATCTTTTGCGCGATCACAGAGGAGAAAAAAAGACATGAAAACAACAGCTCTAAAGCCATTTAAGTTAAGGTTTTAAAAAATAGAACTACTGTTTTCATATCCAAATTAATCCCGACGCAGGAAATCAATTTCATTAATTTATTGCCATTTACAGTCAAAGAAATTTTCATGTTATTTTAAAAGAAATGGTACTTACACTTTTTTTTCAAGCGAATACAACTCACGTTTGCTAGCAACAACTACTAAATATACTACCTATCCATTCTCTAGAACAGCTAGTTAAACACTCAAGCGTTGCCATTTAATTTTGCCTATGTTTTACGCTATTTTCTGTGCAGTTCCATAATATGTGGCTCCTTAATGATTTAGGAGTTATGGGTAAAATATACTCATAAAAAAAAAAAAAAAAAAAAAAAAAAAAAAAAAAAAAAAAAACACGAAAGTTACTGCTGCCGTTAAATTAAATGTAATTTAAGCTTACTATAACAAGTAATGATATGATTAAAAATTCAAGGCCATAGAACCCATCAGTAGCTAGCAATTGTACATTGAATGCTCAAATCAGTATTTGGTGAAACCACAGCCGACTGTATCAGAGTTGGCTGTGGGTGAAACCCTCCTTGTCAGAGATACATACTTTTAAACACGGTGACCAGACAAAAGTCCACTGGACGAAAGCGCACGCGACAAAGGTGGCTTGGCAAATACGGTCAAGAGCAGGAGACTGACGTTAATTACGGAAGGGGAAAGTAAACGGCTGTGTTAGGGATCATACGAGGAGATATATTTTAAAAGAAAAGTGTTTTTAGGTCTCATTCAGTATCAGTATATCAGAAATATATATCGCGCGCTGGAGATAAAAAATTTTTTTTTCGTACAGTGTTGCCATTGCTCGCTTTGAAATCGCTGAGTTTGTTAATCAAAAATTCGTTGAAGTGTTATAAAATATGAAATCGATAATAAAACAAATTTTAAATTCAAATTAGGGCTTCCATATTCTATAGAAGATTACGTTATTCAAATTTTGATGGCTCTAGGTACCGTCGTTTTATCAAAACATACATACATTCATGCAGACTCTTCATTATTTAATTTCTTTAAATATAATACAGGGCGATAATATTTGGTGGGAACAATTTGAAAAGTGATTCGCCGTTTATAGTTTTCAACGCAAAATGCCAAAATGAAATTCCTTTTGGGCAAATTGCGCCTTTGAACTAATAATGTATTCTAAGAGCGATGGGCGATGTCTAGCAGTAAGGGTTTGGAATCAAGAATATATTTCGCAGAACCATTATATTACTTGCAAGTATTTCATTAACTGATACCGTTAAATTTTGAAATTTCATATAAACTAGAAAAGGGATATAAAAATTAATAAATATTTTATTTTTAAATAAACATTCAATTTATGTGTAGATAGCTGCAAATATTTTACTCAGTTGTTGTAGCAGAGCTGTAATTTTATATGGGGGAGGGGAAACTAGGAAAGTTCCACTGGTTAAGTAATGGAAAATCGAGAAATTTTTTGCGATCGAGGAGCAAAACGCTTTTTTCTGGGAGGGGGGTCTATACCAGAAACGAAGCAATAACACAGATAACTTAGCATGTAACTAAATAAAATATTATACATTTTTTTTTAATTACAAATTTACATTTATTAATCAATTCAAGACATGCATACAAAAGCATTAAAGTCAAGATTACTGTTTAATTTGACGGTATTTTATTTACTGTTTAATTTGTTTAATTACTGTTTAATTTGACATTATGCTGTACATAAAACGGCTTTTCTTCGTTAAGAAGGTCGTTTTTAAAAAGGTACCCTTTTTCATCGAAATCGTCAGCACTGATACGAAATGAAGGGCGATTTATACTATACCTCAATTTTCTGGCCTGTAAGACGCGCAGTGATTTATCAGGTTCAAACTTGGGAAAAATACTTAGACAGAAAAGGATCAAGTACCTGTTTTAATGATAACACTTTATACAATGAAAACGGAACTGTTGCATTAAAAAATTAGCAAATACATCAGCGTTTCTTAGAATCCCAGAAATTCGTCATCACTGTTGCTAAAATCATAGTTATTTTCACTTAGGTTGTCACTGTAACTAGATTTGCCACTTTTCTAAAACACAATGTCATCCTTATTTCCACCTAGAGCACTGCTAATTCCACACTTTTTAAAAGATATGTTGTAGGATAAAATTGGATAATAGGATAAATGTATTTTCAGTATTAACTTCATTCTGAAGAATTTTCTGCAGTCTAGTTTGCGTTATTTTATTCATAAGTCTGAAATTAAAAACAATTTAATGTTTATATGTCATTAGAAAATTAACTAGAAAGCAGCGACCACAATGTAATTGAAAAACAGTCTCTTAGACATGAAAAGGTTGAAGGCCATTTGGGTTAAGACTATTTTCTCAGATACTCAGCTACTTCACATACATGGAACATAGCATTCGAAATGAAAAATTCAATATTTACTACAAATTCATTGATGTAACAAATATCTGTCTTTCTACACCTACTTAAAAAAAAGATGTTATTTCCCTTACAGTTTATAGTTCAATAATACATTTTCATTGTACAAAATTTCATTCATTCGAAGAATTCCATTTGTATTTTGCTTTGTATAAAAACTGAGTGTAGAGAAGTTAGATGTTTAAACGACCCCCACATTTTCTCAAGACCAGGAGCAAGATTATCTCCTTCTTTTCAGCCCCCCCATGAAAAAAGGGGTTCTAAATTTCCGACCTGACCGCACATGAGGTGATTTCGCGACAAAAGCCCACAAAAAAGACCCCATTGGGATAACGGCCCACGCGACTAATACCCACACCGATGAAAGCGCACATTGATAAAAGCCAACGTTGATAAAAACCCACATATATATAAGCCCACATTCATAAAAGCGCACATAATCAAAAGGGACTTATACATTTTAATTATTTTTATATATTTATAATTTTAATTGTAATAAATGGAGTATTCAGATCTGAATTCTAATGTCTCAAATATGTTTGTTTGTATAGTTTATCACTACTTTGTTTAATTTATTAGGTTGAAAGCAATCTTTCTACTCTCTGATTAAGTGATTAGCTATAGCGTTTCAATGATAAATCTGAAATTGCATTTTTTTATTTATTTACTTATTTAACTTTGGTATGTGTATGTGAAAATGAAAAATATCATTGTGGAGTTTCTCACATGCTATTTTTAAGGTAATATGGCTGAGATTAAATATAATTATGTTTCATTATTAAAACTATTAACTCTTTAATTAAAAACACTTGAATTTTATTTTATTTCTTTTTAGATTTTCCTTTAGTTCCTTTTAGTTCCTTTTTAGTTTAGGAATATTAAAACAGTTAAGCACAACAAGAACTTGGCTAAGAGATATTTTATTGTTTACTTTAGACTGAGCTTTTTATCACAGTTTAAACATATTTCTCATTGAAAGCTGTTTTGAATGTAACAATTATAATTTGGCGATTTTCTAGAGATATTTTCTTTTAGATTTCTGAATAAATTAAAACTGTCAGCTGACACCCTGTCAGAAAATGAATTCCAAATGTAACCTTTTAATCTTTCAATTACAGCAATTTGGAATAGTGTTTTTAATTTTAATTTTATTTATTTATTTTTTTTGGCGGGAATGGAACAACTCTTAGAAGTCAACATGTCTACAAATTTAAGTACAATCATCTCAAACTAATAAAAACTAATAGTAATAAAACACTCAAACTAATAGTAATAAAACACTCAAACTAATAGTAATAAATATGTAGCATTTTATTAGAGATTGTAAAGATGGCAGAGAACAATGCATATAATAACATCTAATAAAATTTTGTCACTTTATAAATATATATTTATAGTAATCAGATCCAAAGTTCATCGTTTTTAGATTCCAAGTATACATATTATATAAATTCATCATTCATTAATAACATTATGTATAGTAATAGAAAATTAGTATTAATGTTTCAAATTGAAATTGTTTAATAATTTGTCTGGCATTTGCTGTATATTTGGTCAAGACGTATGGATATCAGTTATTTAACATGGAAAATACACAGAAAGCAGCTAATCTTATACAACAGCTGATTGTGAAAGAAAAATTACAGTGCTTTTAATTACAGTTATACTGCTTTTAAATCTCCCTATTGTAAATAGCCGTTTTCTAATTGACATTAGATTAAATTAATTCCATTATTCATTAGAAAATAATTATAGTGAATTATATCTATTGACGACATTTCTAAGAGGCCACCTTTTGAAAGAGACCTGCATTTTTTGTGAACATAAACGAAAATTGCCAGCGAATATCACATTTCTAAGGCCACCATATCTACAACCAAAATCCTTTAAAACCGTGAACCGAATATTTGTTACATTCAAAACAGCTTTCAATGAGAAATATGTTTAAACTTTGATAATAAGCTCAGTCTAAAGTAAAGAATAAAATATCTCTTAGCCAAGATTAGCCAAGTTTTTTCATTGTGCTTAACTGTTTTAATATTCCTAAACTAAAGGAAGAAACTAAAGGAAAAAAAATTCAAGTGTTTTTAATTAAAAAGTTAATAGTTTTAATAATGAAACATAATTATATTTAATCTCAGCCATATTACCTTAAAAATAGCATGTGAGAAACTCCACAATGATATTTTTCATTTTCACATACACATACCAAAGTTAAATAAGTAAATAAATAATAAAATGCAATTTCAGATTTATCATTAAAACGTTATAGCTAATCACTTAATCAGAGAGTAGAAAGTTTGCTTTCAACCTAATAAATTAAACAAATAAAGTAGTGATAGAATATACAAACAGACATATTTGAGACATTAAAATTCAGATCTGAATACTCCCTTTATTATAATTAAAATTATAAATACATAAAAAAAATTAAAAAAGTCCGTTTTGATTATGTGCGCTTTTATCAGCGTGGGGTTATATCTATGCGAGCTTTTATCAACGTGGGCTTTTATCAGTGTGGGCTTTCATCAATGTGCGCTTTCATCGCTGTGGGTATTTGTCGCGTAGGCAATTATGATAGCGGGCTTTCTTTTGTGAACTTTTGTCGCGTCCAGTGGGCTTTTGTCTGGGAACCTTTAAACACTGAT